CTCCTATCCTGGGCCCTTCCTTGTGCCCGCCCCTGGCAGTCCCAACCCCCCCACTCCCCTCCACCAAGAAGGGTCCCTCTTATGTCAAGCCTATTTCCCGCCCCCCAACACACTCTCCAAGATGCTCTGGGTTCCATGAGGCCAGAGTTCACATGGGGCTCCCACGACCACACTGGGGCTCCTTGGCCCGCAGTCCAGGCCAGCTTGGCAGCGGGTGGGGGGTTACACTAGGGGTGGGATTGGGCTGGGGTGATAGGGTTCAGGTGCTGCACGCACCGGAGGCCGGGGAGGTCTGGCTGCTGGATCCGGGGCTGGCTTTGGGCTGGGACATCCTTGGGCTCGAGGGTTCGGCCCCGAGGCCACCTCCAGGCCTCTTAGAGCTGTCACCGCAGCTAGCCCCTGACCCAGGCCAGGCCTCAAGCTGCCTAGGGCTCTGAGCCTACGCCTCCTGAACTGCAGGTCTGTGGACCCCCAGAAGGTGTTGCTGGAATCAGATGGCAAGGGGAACTTAGGGGGAGAGGGGATCAGGTTACAGCCTGAGGTCCTAGAAGACTCTGGAAAACAAGGAAAGAGAGCTTGTCAGACAAGGGTCCCCACAGGGATCAGTAGATGGGGCGAGGGCCACCACAGCAAGGTGGCAGTGTCCCCTGGGACCCCGCCCCCAGCCCTTCACCCCCTCACAGCGGCACCCCTCTCCTCCACTTCCTGTGCTCCCCTGGGAGGCTGTGGCTCTGCGGCCTTGTGACTTTGCTGGGGCCACACCCACTTCTGGGCATGCAGAGGCCACAAAGTCTGAGCTCTGGCTTTGGGTCACTGAGTCGCAGCACCAAGAGTGGCCCTGGGCCAGTTCCTAACACTCCGCTATAGAGTGAGGCCCTGGAACCCCCCCCCCCCCCAGGGCAGACTGGGAGGTGTGGCCGTGACCAGTGAGTGCTTCCCTGGACCTGGCCTGGAGTGGGAGGCCCTGGCACCCTTCTGTCCCTGGGTCCCCACTGTCTGTTACCACTCCCGCTGGCTGCTCTGCCTGTCCTCTGTCTCCCCCCCACCCAACAGCCCAGGCACAAGCCCACACAGGGAAGGGCACAGGCTTTGTCTGTCCTGTCTCTCTTCCATCCTGGCCCTTTTGACTCCCCAACCCACAGGAGGGTCATTCAGCCAACCTTTAAGCCTATGGCCTATGAAGGGAAACAAAAATAATATAAAAACAGGGAGGGGGACCAAACAGAAGAGACTCTTAAATATGGAGAACAGAGGGTTACTGGAGGGGTTGTGGGAGGGGGGATGGGCTAAATGGGGGAGGGGCACTAACGAATCATTGTTGCACTATATGCTGACTAATTTGGATGTAAATTTTAAAAAATAAAAAATCAAATTAAAAAAAAAGCGCCTATGGCCTATGTACTTGCTGCCCCTGCTTACAATGCCCCCTTCCCAGGCTTGCCCCCTCAGTTCTACGCGTCAGTTCAGACCCTTCCTCCAGGAAGCCTCCCTGGGCCCTGCTGCGTGAGGGTCTCTACAGCCCCCCACGTTTGTCCCATGCAGGACACTCGCGTCCTGGGCCCAGCACACAGGCCCTGTGTGCAGGGTAAGGGCAGCACCCTCCCCGCCTCAGTCCCCTGGCCCGTTTGGCGGCCTCTCCCCTCCTTTGGCCTGTGCCCTGCTCCCTGCCCAGTGGGCCTGTCCTGGCCACCCATTGCCACCCGACCCTCTCTTTCAGTCCAGGGCCCCTGCTCATACCCCCTTTTGTCCAGCCCTTGGGGCATTATTATCCCGAGCGCTCAGGGGAGGAGGACTTGGGATTGGAACCCTGACTGTAAGTCCTCACCGTCAGGAGAGGCCCTCCCCGTTACAGCCCCTCTCAGAGTCCAGCTGAGGAAGGGGACCCAAGCCGATGAATGCTGGTCTGGGGCAGTGAGTGGGGTCACTCTTAGTACCTGGGACCAGACATTGGGGGCCAGAGGGAGTCCTGGGCTTAGATTCGTCCTCTTGTTCTTCGGGCGCCCCCCGTGGGCCCCAGGGGGCTGTGGCACCTTCCTGCTGGGACTCCAGGTACCTACTGGGGAGGGGACCAGAGGGGGGAGGGGGTGCAGCCCTGCCCTTAGGGCCATTCCCAAACGAATGTGCTCTGGGGTGGTCCCCCAGCCTCAGGCTCCCACGGCCAGCTGCCCCAGCCATCCGGGGTACCTAGGCAGCCCCCCCTCCCCCGCCATGACCTCCCAGCAAACCAGGACATGCAGTGGTAGGGCTGGGGGCCGGGAGGGGGAGGGGCACCCACCGAAGGCGCAGCTCCCTCCGGGCCTGGAGCCTAGCCAAGGCCAGGAGTTCACTGCTGTCTGCAGGGTCAGGCCCTGGGGTGGAGGCACTGGCAGCCAGGTCCTCCTGTGGGGCCAGCTGCTCCGGAGGTGTCCAGGCCTGAGGAGAGAAGGGGCTGGTTTGGGGGCACAGCCTTCGAGGGGGCTAGGTGGGGGGCACCCTGAAGGCAGGACTCATCTGGCTGTGCAGGGTGTTGGGGAGGCTGGGACTTCTGGCCAGCAGTGACTGTAGGCCAGGGCATTGCCAGGCCAGCACACGGGTCCCCTGTGGTAGCACTGCAGTTGTGACCCACTTGGGGGTGACAAGCCACACCTGGCACTGGTGTCGACGCTCCCGCAGGCCTTTGGTGGGGTTTCCGCAGAGGACTCGGCTAGCACCTGAAGAAGAGGGGTGGCTGGGTCTGTTCTGGGGCTGCGGGGCTGCGGGGTCAGCTTTGTGCAGAGGTGGGTAGTTACCGTGGGTGAGGTTACTGGTGTCGTCCTGTGGAGCTGGGTCCTTGGGAAGCAGGCCTCCCGGCAGGGGACCCCCAGTGACCAGTAGGGAGGGGGGCCGTGGCCTGGGGGCCCGTGGCTGGGTCTCAGGCAAGGAGAGCTGGGAGCCGAGTGTCCGGATGGGGGCTCCGTGGGGATGATCTACCCGAGGGTCAGAATCGGAGGTCACGGAAGCACACGCCAGCCGGCCAGCCCGTGACACTGTCCACAGGCCAGGGACCCCCGCCCCCTAGCACGTGTCTGTGTGTCTGCAGGCCCACACCCCACCAGGCGCTGCTCTGCTCACAGGGAGGTTATCCTGGCCTGGGGGCAGGTATGCGGGGCTCTGGGGACAGAAGGTCAAGGCTGAGAAGGGATGTGAAATATGGCTGCTCATCTCTGAAAGGCCTAGGGGGGTGCTGGGGGGTGCAGAGCTCTCTT